CATGAAACCAAAATTATCAATAGTTTTAAAATATTTGAGACAACACAAATCTAATTCGACTCGAACAAAAAAAATTTCGTTTTTGTATACGACTTCACAATTTTAATAATCAATAACAAATCTACTGTAATTGAAAAAAATACCTTGTTTATCTCTTCGACTCTTATACACCTAAATTTCATTAGCTAGAAAATCTAAAACAAAAAAAAAAGTATTAAACTGCATCACTCGTTTGGGTGAATATAGGCTTAAATATCTCAATTTTTCATAATACATAACCTTGTTTAATCTGGATTAAAAAAAAAAAAACAGTAACCACTACGTAATTTTGCTCACTTTCAAACGACCCAAAAAATGAGTTTAATATTTATAAGGGTATTTATAAAGATAAACTAAGTTATGATTTTGTTGGTGGTTGTGTAGGACAAGATCTTGTTAGAAGTATTGAGGTTGCAGCAACAAACTTAGATGATCAATGTCAGAAAAATAGTGATCGTTATGGAAAATACCGAATTGGAGCAGCAAATAAGATGGAGCCAGAAAAAAGTGGTGCTCTTCATTGTAAAAGAGATTTTGAGTGCAGTTTTAAATGTCGCAAACGTAAAGGTGGGTTCTGTAATAATCGAGGAATTTGCGAGTGTGTCAAATGAATCCCAATGAAAAAAAACAAAAAAACATAGACTTATGTATAAGAGTGATATCTTTATCAAAAAAAAATGTATAAGAGTGATATAATTATTTCTTTAATAATATAAATTAAAATAACCACCCAAAAAAACATATTTTCTTCTAAGAATCTTGATGTGATAGTGTATGAGTTTATCTGCCATATATTATAGGCCCAATAAATAAGTAACGGACGGGCCCATGAAGCTGCATCTTATACGTTGAGCCCAAATCACAAACCATCTGATTGTCAAATCACAAAGGAAACTAGAATCGAATTCTGATAGAACAAAAATTATAGAAATTTTTAACCATTTGACAAACGGTATTTATTCAGTAAAACCATCGTTTAGGACTTCATATTTTTTTAAACATTAAATTTTACAAAATAAAAATATGGGGGGGG